ATACATCTTTCATGAGAAAAGTACTCACAAATATTTCTGGGAGGGTGGTTTTCATTCATTTTGTCTCTCAGATACATGCTTACCAGCTCTCAGAAATTTATTTTCTCAAAAAATCATCTTGTACTTAACTACCATGCATAAAAAAGCAAGAAATTATCAAGAAGATGAAACCAGCTTTTTCTTTGTACTAGAGGATAACATTTGAGCAATGCATTTCATTTCAAATTAAGAAGCTATAGCTTGTCCCAATATTTATTGGCAGACAGGCTTCTGATGTAGATTTGCTTAAAAAGCAAGTCTAATTACACATAAATGCTTGCTTATCAATCAGTGCAATAGAATATATATGTCAATATGTAAATATAAGCATTTATATGTATATTTATGCATTATTCATGTGTCTTATGTATGTGTATACATATAATGTACGTACAGACATGTTAATTCACTTTTTCTTCTAATCCTTTGGGCTAGATGCTGGACAAATCCTGGACAATACCCAGAAGACTGCAGCCAGTTAGACTGTAGTTTGCAAGGTCACATCCACAAGCTCAAGTGGCCACTACAGTTGTGCCAAGAGCAGCAACCCATGTGAGAATTACATGGGGTGGGTGTCTCTGTACAGAAGCACTCAAACTTCAGCTTACTTCCATCCCTAGGAGATACATCCTAATGATAATGTGGAAATTACTGTGAACAGAAAAATACTTTAATGTCTGGGGTGCTTCTTCAACAGGAGATAGCAACTGTTTAGCTACAAGTTCATTTAAAAAGAAAAGTACTTGAACATTGCTTCATAATGGGTTATGAAATAATTTATACCATGTGCTCAGTAGACAATAATCAAACCATAAAGCCCGTCTTGCATATGAGGCACTTCACTCTGTAAAAGAAAATTTGGCTGCATTTCTGGTTTGGTTGCAGATTTTTTTTGAGATCCAAGCAATAATTTTAATCAACATGCTACAAGCTAACATTTTATTTCACTCTGTCCTTTTCAGGCTCTACAGATTTCTGTTTATTTTCAGAAGTGAATAATCTGAAATATTCAATCTACAAGCCAAAACACTCAAAAGGAATTTTGACGCTTGTTGAGGTTTGGCTACACTTGTGAAACAAATAAATCCGGCAATGATAGAGCTGAACAACTTGTTTCTTCAGCATCCTTCCCTGAGTATGGAGGGATGCAGATGAACATCTACCTAAACCTGAGGCCTACTGATGTTTTCCCAAATTAAGGCTGTGTATCTGAGATGCTCCAAGGGAATCTCCTATGGTCCAGGGAACCCACCCATTCATTCTTACTGCATTTCTTGTAATATAAGAATTAGGTAATATTGGATACTATTTTCATATGCTCTTATTTTTGCCTGCCTGTTCATGCTGAGTCAAAGCAAATTTCCTTAATTAGTTTGAATGCACATCTGTGTCAACTAGAGGTAGAACAAAGATTAGTAAAAGAAAGAGATGCAACATTCTATTCCTAATGATTAGTGAAATATAGCTACTGAAACACTTGGGAAGTTGGTTACAAAGTTTGTCTATGTGGGCAATATCAGAATAAGTAAATATTAAAACAAAAAATATCAAAGATGAAGGAGGTTTGCATTTGGAATTACTGCCAAAGTGTGTCACATCCAGTATATAATACTGGGAAGTTCCAAATCAGTGCTGCACCTAATACCTCTTTAATTAATCTGAGTATGTTGCCATCTTTGCCTTCCACTTCATGCCAGAAAGTAAAAGGATGGAAGGTCTGATATGTAAGAAAATATACCAGCACCCTATACCCCATGTAATTCAGTAATTTTTCTGTAAAAATTCAGATATCCTGTGGCATACTTTTGAAACAGTCAGTTCCTGGAGCTGATTATACAACAGAAAACAGGATGATAATAAAAATGCCTGTGAACCTACACTCAATGAATAAAAATAAATTACTTTGGTATAGAGCATAATCTACTTGACAAAGGAAAAAACCTTTTATCAGTCAGGGAAAGGGGCATTAAAACAATTACAACTGAAAGTTCACAGAGAATAGTTAAATGCTTTAAAAGACTTGCCTCTGCTATTATTTAAAATTTTTATGTTTCAATGTTTAGAGTTTAGAGGTTTTTGTATAATTACATGCCTTAAAGTGACCTGTAAAGGGTTTGAAAATCATTCTCCCCAGAGTACATCTTCCAGTTGACAGGTGTAACCTTTTCTTATTCAGCCTGAAGCTAGGAAGTATAGATGATAAGTGAGCTGGCAGCCCTCCACCTCCTTATTTTTTAAAAAAAATAACTATATGGGTGAAAAGAGACATGTAGGACACAATGTAACTATCAGTATTTCTGCCTTTTTTTTTTTTTGACATTTACAGATCTTTCATCTATTTCAAATTACTCAAGTAATCCATCAGCCTTGGAGGATTAGGCCTACTTTGCAAGCCAAAAGGACTTAAAAGACGTCAGAAAAAAATCCATAAATTCTCTGATGCATTTTTTCTGCAATTTACCTGTTGAGGGATGAAATAATTTGTGATTCTAGCTAACCACTCACTGTTCATTACCATGTGCTTTACAGGATTTATTTTTTCCTTTATCATTTGGCACAAATATTTTGCCACACAAGAAAAAAGTATTCATTTCACTGACAGTAGATATATGGAGATTATTGAAATTACATTATCCTGTTCTCCCTAAACATGCCAATGTGACTAAAGGCACACAATGATTCATTATTATTACTATTCATAATTATTCTGATTAGTCAAAATACTCAAATTCAATTATTTTCTTTAAAATGGGTTTCTGTGAGGTTGCTGGACAGTGGGATGTTCTGTCTTTGTTTCTACGGAGTTTTAGCTACTAGAAATAACTGAGTAGCTCACAACTGAATCTTGGGCAGAAATCTCTAAATTCAGTAGACGTCCTGAGGCCAACAAAGAGATTTTGCTACATGCTTTAACAGCCTGTTGGAAGACTTCCCACCCACCCAATCACAGCCCTTTTCCAGCAGGCAGAATAGTAAGGGTTGCATCAACTCTTGAGCCTTTCTGCACTGTGAAATAAAAATACTAACACTTCTATACATTCATTACCAAGACTTAACCAGTTACTTTCTTGAGCTCCCAAGGAAATAATGGTATAAGGAAGAAATGGAGTATAAACCACAAAGGAGACTGAAAATATCTTTAGATTGGAAGGTGAAAATAATATCAGGGTATTATTTGGTATCTTCATATGTGTTGTACTTTCAGCAGCAAATATACATGAAAGAGATCAACCTGGCATGACATTTACATTGAAGACATAAGTCTCCTTAAGGAAAACACTATATATTTTCCAGGAACATTAACCTTGGAAAGAGCTCTACTTTTTGATTACTCTACTAGAATGTACGTGCTTACAGCATTATAAAAATAAATACAGGAATTTATAACTTTTGCAAATATACAATGATTCAATGCAAACTTTCCTTTGCAGGGGTCAACTTTTGTTTCAACAGCTCTTGCAAATACCTGTATATAAAAAAAGAGATGGTCCTCAGCAGCCTCTCTTAAAATCTACTTATTAGCTTTCTTACCCACCACTCAAACACAACAAAACATATGAAACTGACTTAAAAAAGGATGAAATAGCAGTTTATCAGAAATATCAGTATTTACATTCTTCTTAGGCACTCAAAATTATGCCTTTTAATTTATTTTGAGCAGTCCTAGAAATGAGCTTCCAGAACATGATTATGTAGGTGTGACATAACATTGTTATAGGTGTTTTAGACCATGTGACAGGAGCAAAAGGGGAAGGAAAGACTCCTGAATCTATCATTTGGATAATTCCCCCTGTTCCAGTGAAAATGCACTCTGTTTTGTTTTCGAGGTGGGTTTTGGATTTTTGGGTTTTTTGTTAGTTTTTGTGTGTCTATGTGTGCACATTGTGTATGCATGGAAGTGTGCAAATAATTGTGTTTTGGACAGCACAAAGGAGAGGGGAAGTATTTACTGGAAATTCTTACCTAGTTAGAATAGTAATGAAAAATAAAATGGCTTCATGTTTCCCCTGTAAATTCAAGAAGAGAAGCCGTAGCTTTGGCCTGATGAAACTTTCTTCACTATTAATATTGAAAAATATATTATTCCTCACTATCATTTCCCTTTAAAGTTATCTAAGAGCCTCTTAAGTCTTAATGTCTCAAAGAGCATCTAAGTAAGGGCACTATAATAATTTTTTAGTGATGAAAACTGGAACAGCTGCTTTTATATCCAATTCTTGTATTTTGTAGCCACAAACATGTCCTGGATAATAACCTGAATCATCTGTATCAATAATTGGAACAACATAGCTACTGCTTGCAAAGAAATACTGCTCTTTCAAAATACATTCCCTATATAACAAAAAAGGCATCAATTTATAAGCATCACAGAAAGTAAAGATGCTAAATTTACTTCTGTAAACTGTTTTATCTGTGCCATAGTAATTCTCCAAAAAGAAAACAAGGAAACAGAACAGAAAGAAATAAAGGAAATTCTTAGCATGTGAGCATATAAATCACTGCACTAACCTAAACTGTAAGTCAGCAATCAGCTGAAAGCTCAGTGATGATATAACAAAATTTTCATGTACCATATCAAAACTGCAAGAAATATAATGTACAAATGACAAGCTGACAGCTCATTTCTGAAAAGTCTTTTTCCACAACACCACCAGACTCCATTTTGAGTGAAGTCTTACCACTCCTCCCACCAACATAGAGTGTGTGCTGAACAGTAAATTGCTAGCTACATCCTTCTGAAATTTTCTATTAAAAGTCTCAGGACAACCAAAATTATTTTACTTTGAGAACCAAATTTTAGGCTATTTTAAGGAATGTCTAAACTTACTCCAGGAGAGAACGGTTGGCTCAGCTGCCTTTGTTGCTGCAATGAGTGTCAGGTAACTCCATTCATCCGCAAGAGAATGTGGCCTTACTCAAAGGACTGGGGGGAGAGAAGTTAAAGAGTCAGAACACTTCACCTCCTCTGTAGCTTGTGAGAAGTCAGCTTCTGGTGTAGAACCTGAGAAGGAAGACAGAATTTGCTGAGGTTTTCACTAGCTGTTGAGAAAGAAGAACAGCTGGCAGAAAGCATGACCTGGCTGGTGATCAGATTTGCAGAAGCAGCAGCTCGGGGTCTGAAGGAGATCCAATGGGAAACTGTGGCTAATGGGGAGGCTTTAGGGGTGATGCCCTTGGAAGTGCTTACATAACTGCTGGACACACTGAAGAGGGTGTGTTTGTGGAGGCAGCAAAAGAGAAATTCACCCCATACCTCAGGCACATGATACAGCAGACGAAAAAATGGATACTCTGTCCTTTCAGCATGATACTTGTATTGCTTTTCCAAAATCCAATGATCATCTCAGTACTCTCTCTTTAGTACCAGCACTGTCCTCTACCAAAATCTCAGAGCAGCCCTGAGCAGCTGAAGCCATACTGCTACATACAGAAACACAGAGGATGCTTCAGACACAGGGAGCTGTGAGTTTAAAATGCCTCAGGCAGAGGAAGCAAGTCAATTTGGATTTCTCTTATCTCTAGCAACAGAGGGCAAAAGAAAGGCAGCCGATAAACACCATCTCCTTCTCCGGCAATTTGTAAACCTAACACATCTGTCCCATGCTTTATTTATGAGTGAATGAAAAACAATTGGATTTGTGTCAGATAGAATATCTAAATGCTGAAAGGAGTGACAGATTTTGGTTTTTCATTTTGGCCATACAAATATACAGTTCATGTTTACTTACACTACAAGTCAAAATCCACTGTCTTTCCTTAGAGTTACAATTAAAAGGATGGATAAAAAACAAACCCTTTGGCCCTGCTGGCTTGCATTACTTGCAAGTAATGCCACCTCAGGTGGTGAAAATATTGGGAAAAAGCTTTTTCTTTTTGATGACTTCAACTCTGAGACCAGTAGCGTGCTAATTATATTTCTCATGTTACTAATTTCAAGAGAAATGTCACCGTAGAGCTACAGAGAGCAACCAAAACAGTGAACCTTCTATTTTGCCTGTGGGCTGAAGTCAAATTATACACCAGTTAAAAAAGGGGATTACATGGTATGCAAAGATTTTCTACAGCAGAGATTAGAGGTGAATAATTCTTTCCATGTATTATTCTCCTTCCTTTACCCTAAAAATAGCTCCCATAAATAAGAAAGTTTAAAAACTGCAAATTGTTTAAGAGTTAGCTGAACACTGTACTAACTGATAAGCACACATCAGAAGTAGCTAAAATCCATATTGCGCTTTAGAAGCTTTAATTGAAAAACAAGTCTTCTGCTCTTGAGATAGAAATTAATTTATAAATCTATGTATAGGAGCAATTACAAATAATTTTGTTTTTATTGCAGCTGTCTAATAGTGGCATTACAAAAACTAAGTTGGATGATGGTATCTCTGATAAGTTTTTTCCCTTTAAAAAATAAGCAATCAGGAAAAAGTAAGATAAAGGCTTTTGCAGAAGGATCAATATGCTCTTGATCTGGTTTAAGAAAGTACCAGTAAGTTCCCTCTCAGAAAATCACAGGATTATACAGATCAACTTCCTTTGTTTAATAGGATTTTTAAATAAAGGCCTGTTAACTGAGTTGGAAATAGAAGGAAAATCCAAGGAGGTTATTTATGTTTTCTGTATTTATAAAAATGTAATTCCTATTGTTGATTCCGATAGAAACCTGTGCAATAATGATGATTAATAGCATTTTAATTTCTCATATAATTTTCCAGCAATTACAAAATCTATGTTTAAAAGTACCCCAAGGTGACATATTCTTAGTGAATTTAAAATGTGTCTTATACCCAGAAATTGCACTTATTCATAAATATACTGAGTACCTTTCAGTACTTACAAAAATGCATGGGGTACTTAAGAAGCTAATTTTAAAACATCAGCTACATAATCATTGCTTGATTTAATGCTTTTACAATAGATTATTTATTTCATTCCTTCTATCATACCTTACTAGTGATAAATTGACGAGTTTTGATGGAAGATATAGAAATAAAATTTGTACTAACTGTTTCATGCTGAATCATTTATGCTCCATGTGATTTAGTGCAGGCTGATTTCCACCTTTCAAACAAGCCTTTAAAAAAGAAGCTGCATGAAAGGAACACTGTACAGATCTGCACCAGGGAGAAACAATCTACAGGAGCTGCAGACACAGCCCCATGGCAGGGACAGGGATGACTTGTACTGCCTCTTTGCAAGCTCCCCAGAGTGTGTCTACGCTGGCACCACAGGGTGCAGACACAAGAGATTGCTGTACCTGCCCCAACATTTCCCTGTATCCCCACCTGCCTGGCAAGGCTCCAACTCTCTGAGGGCAGCCAGGCTTACACGAGGCGCAGCAATTCAATGTGGTACACACTTTTACTTGGGAAAATCAGATTCCAAAAAATTCACAGAATTGAAAATGAGTATTCTCATTTAATTTCTCCTGGTATTTTCTGGAATACTTCTATCAAGACATTACTTAATGAAGGTGGAATTTGCTTCATGAAAGAAATGCAAATGTCCTCTCCATGGAAATGTATATTCATAGTCTTGAAACCTTCTCAACATGTTGATCCTTACTGCTATTGTTACATTACTACTTTGAAAGACTAGAAGACACTCCAATATTTCTGACTTTTTCCTAAATAGTGACACTGTTGTAAAACATCCATGTACAAACGGGCCTATCTGTCTAATCTCTCTGGACTTTAATACTTCCATAGGCATTTTTGGTCCCAACATTCTAACTCTTAATCTAACCTTAGGTATTTTTCTCTTCATTGACATATAATACATAGGAACTTGTCACACGTGAAGGAGGTGACAACCTCAGAATGGATTGTTCCAGTTACGCAAACTTATGTAAATTTAGGTAATGCTAAAAGTAGGCTAAATTTCTCTCAACAAATGGCAATTTTTCTTTTTATTTTGTGAGACATGTGAGTTGATAGCAGTCCCCTCTTCAATTTCTCATCCATACTAATTGTGCTTTCTGCATGGCTGCCCAGCCCTTTGCTCTTGCACTGCTCAATGCCTGTTGGCTGTTCCGACAAAGCTTCAACGAGGAGAGCACGCTCCCTACCCATCACATGCATGTACCTTCTTCCCACAAGTTTACATCACTAATGACTTACAAAATTAAAACATTCACTGGTTACACAGCCAAAAATTCACCTCTATTTTCTGTCATAGCTTCCTCTTTGGTAGGAATTCTCACAGATCTTTGTAAAAATCACTGAGGCTCTCATCTAGCTTCTTTCTGCCGTTCCTGATTAATTCCTCAGCCAACGTTGACCCAGTATGGGTCAGCTGATTTGCACTGAGAAACATCTTTTATTTAACCCTGTAACATCTACTAGAGTTGCTGAAAATACTATGGTTTTCTAAAGCATAAGCATTGGAATACAATGAATTTATAGAGTTTCTTATGGCTCAGTTCAACCTCAAAGCAAAAATAGATTTGTAGAAGAAAATTAGTTAAATAGTTTGTTTTCCTCTTTGATAAATTACATGCCCAGCTTCAATTTAAATAATAGAAAGAAAAAGAGATATTACTATGTCCAAGAAACATTCCTATAGAATATGAAATTTATAGACATATTTCACACTTAAAACACATGCACTTATAAAAGTACTTTGAAATTGTATTTCCAAGTCTTAGTGGTTTTTTTCCCTGTTTCTTTTCTAAAATCCAAGGTTAATCAACAGTAACAATGCAATTTGGCCCTGCTGTCAGATGTCACAGCATTAATTATTACAGAAAATACATAAGACAAATCCTAATGCACAGGGGAGTTATTCATTAATTTTAAGAAGGTTTAGCAAGGAAGCCTAGCTTGAACATAAAAACTAAGATGAGATTTTAATGTCTTTACATCATTAACTACTTTAGGGTGTATTTCAAACTCATAAAGCTATCTCATTTTGTACCCATGGCAAAAATCACATAGCAGGCCAGAACTTTCTAAATAATATATTTAATAATTTATTTATAGGATATCTAAATGCAAATAGCTGCAAAAAAATTGAAAAAGGTGCTCTCATAACCCAGGGTTTAATTAGAAATGCTTATACTACTTAAAATTTCAATGTTTAAAACTTACATTCTATAGCTTCATCTAACCTACAGGGATTAATTGTAACAATTCACAGTATCTATTAGGAGATATATTTTCTTTAACCTGTACTTAATGTCAACAAAACCTGTTCAATGCACAGCTAACTGTTACACTGATGCATTTTAAAGGTAATATGAAGATAATGTAAGACTCTTCAAAGCAATTAGTAAAATTATTATATTTGCTTAAGCTGTTCACCTGATTGAGTGCCAAAAAAATCCACTAGTCATCGTCAAACTTTCTGGTAATGTTATTTCTGTCTAGACACTAAGCATTTTTACTGATGAAATGTCTGTAAAATACAAATTTCAACAATCTGAAGGTGCAATTGACATGTATAAGCATAAGAATTTGTAGATCACGCAAGATTTGTACTATCTGAAAAAATACATGATCATGCTAACATATCTGTAGTCATCTTTAAATGTTATCATGTATGACCATCAGTATCGAAACTGCAAAAAAAAAAAAAAAGTGGTTTTCTTCATGTTTGAACTTAACTATCCACATTTTCATATCAGGTATTTTCTTAAATAATTTTATTTATTTAAGCATTATTATCCAATTCTGATCATGACCACAGGGCTGAAATTGGTTTGTACTTATCCCAAATGCCTGCTTTTTATACAGCTCATGACATAATAGACCATGAACTCTGAAAGATCTTCTGGCTTACAAAGCACACATTTCTGTCTTCATTAGAGACACACAGAGGACAGATAACATGCCATTTTTAACTAGCCCTCAGCTGAAAATGAACTCCATTTTAAACTATTTTCTCAGTAATTGAAATTTGAAAAGTTTCTCCTCCAACAAACGTCTTCATAAGAACTCAGAAATGTGTACTCTCTGAAGTTCATTTCTGCTCCAGAATTAATTTCCTCCTGTAACCAGACTTGTT